GCATGAAAATAAATAATCCGTATCAAAAAAATTTGCCAGGCCCCCCTCAGAATCAAATGGTCGTCCCCTAAACCCGTTTTCCACTAAATATGCTTAACTGTCCACTTTGAAATCAAGATTATCAAATAATAAGTCCTTCAGTAAAATAAAATTATAAAATGTTTTGAAGATGACATTAGTGAGAACACGATTTTAGAAAAATAAAACTTTTCTGTGAATTTTGAAAATTGAGAAATATTTTTTCTCAGAGCGGGGGATTGTCCATGCCTTATACGCCCTCTTTCTTAATTAGTCAGCCCCGGTGCGCAGCATTGTGGGAAGGCCAGGGAAACATGCTAGGATGAAACTGCAAGTGCGCTTGCGTTAATCGGAATTGTGGGAAAAAGATTCAATCGGCAATCCTCGGCTGACTCCGCTACGCTCCATTTATGTGCGAGGTACGAGTCATCCGAGGAACTCCGAGTTAAAAAGATTTGCAAAATTTTCTCCAACCAGAGGGCGTGCTTCTTCAGGCACACTCACGACCTCGATCTATTTATAGACTGCATTGTTCTTCATCGTTCTTGATGAAAGTTAATGACATAGACTGTTCAGCAAAAGTCTAGATGGGATAATTGTCAGTTTTTAAATGATACTATGAAAATATTTCATTGCTTCTAATAGAAGATAAGTACATTCATTCCATCAATCGCCATTGCAAGCCGGAGATTTAAATTGTGTATTCCTCTGGATGCCTGATGCAAGACTCCCTCGATCAATATTCAATACCTTGCATAAGACATGTACGGGTTGGAATTCACACAACATTCCACTTGCCACAAAGGTCCCAAAATAGTGAAAAAAAAGAATGATCAATTTCTTTTCACTCTAATGACAGAAGTTATGAAAACGTCAGAAGACCACTGTAAAACAGTAAATTGATGATGGACGTGTAAGTCCACTTGTGCACGTGAACCGCGCCCACATTTGAGACATTGACCACAGTGGAAAATGCAATAGCTGAAAGAACTGTGCTGATTTATAGACAGGGTCAACCCCCCCCCCCCAATGAAAGGAGGGGGGGTGGATTCCAGTATTTAATCTATAGTTTTGCTATGATGGTAGACATCATCAAAGACATTTTAAGTATACGAACTGCATGTATAAACATATTTGAATTTCCATTTTAAATTGTTTTCCGTGGCGTTCATTATTTTTTAGGAAGCAATTCTTTTCTTTCCTAATAACACTAAAATGGATGCTCAAACATAGAAATTGAATTAAATATACATGCAGTACCCCCCCCCCCCTTCCACATCATGCATTGCCTCAAAATGCACAACTGAAAACTGTTACTTAATAATATTTAAAACAATCTAACACAATTAAAGTCTATACCTTCCTTTTATTCATCATAATCTACATCATTTTTATAGAATTTAACGTGATTTTAGTTGCCATGTTGGCTTTTGTTCATTTACCGGTAGGCCTATGAGATGAACTTTCTCTGACGTCTGCGCCGAAGAGAGTTTATTGGAGATCATTGCAATGATCACGATGCAGACTAGCTAAAATTTACTCTATGTTTTATTGCAGCCCGGAGGACCGGGCTGCTCTATACATATAAGTTTAAGTGTTGGTATATGGGGATTGGGGTGGGAGTAGTTATTCAAAATTAAAGGTTTTCTAAACATTGAAAAGATTGTTAATCAGAATGTTCTTTCCCTTTATAAATTACGAGATACATAATATATTTACTTCCATAAAGTGATTCTCTAAAAATAGATATGTTTTTCACATTTAATATATAAAGTTGTTTATCATTTACTATCGAAAAAACGACAGGTCCCCTTTTTTAGATCATCGAATTTTACTTCTCGCATAAAAACGTACTATGCACACTTCGTGTTTTATATTCTAAAATTGAAAATTAAATACATTTTTGAATATAGGTGATGCATGTGTCTACCTTCAATTTATATTTTATGCAGCCAACATTTACTCGAGGAATTGAAGTTTAAAATGGTATCGTTTTTGTTTGACATTTATCCGACTATAAGTTTTCCAAATATTCGCGACTATCGTCTCATCAATTAGACGCATGCCTTTTCACACGTATCGAAGCGGTTTGATGATCAAAGGTCATTTCCATTGTTTACTTTATATATTTCCCGGGCGACAATTGATGGTTACATCAATGTTTTCTTGTTATTTATTGTGTACAGCATTACGTTACAAATAAGAAAGCGAATATTACAAGAATTTAACTTTTCTTACATTGGCATTTATTACATGAAAGGAACACAACATGATGGATAGATCAAATCATAAACCATTACAAAACAAGAAAGAAACTTTCTGTATTCCAGTGGCTGACCCTCAGCTTTTTTTAAAAAGCTAACCTTGTAAATCTTGTATCTTGCATACGAGTTGATTGTACGTACGAGTTGACTTTGTACAAGGTCTGTGTACGAGTTATTGTGTGTACAAGTTATCTAAATCAATATGGAAGTAGTGAAAAATTGTAGACCGAAACGCTTGGAGTTTATCTTCATCATGTGACTGTCTGTTGTCACTGTCAGGATATTGGTCTAGAGAAAGCTGTCGAAGTTAAAAAGCAGAATTTCTCTGTGGATTTCGAAGATTATATGTAAACACAATACAAGCACAATTATCTTTATTAACAGATTAACAGGTCCAGTCCAAAGACTATTTTTACGGTCTACGTAGGTATTGATAGCTACCTAGGTATTTAAAGCTACCCAAAGTAGCTATTTTTACCTACTTTCTGCTGTACTTGCATTTTGTGGCCAGATGCAGGATCGGCGCAACATGGTGAGCACAAAATTTCTTGATACAGTCACACTGATGATAAATATGACAAAAATTTGGTGAAAAAATGAAAACTTCGTATATTATCAATTTTGCATAGAAACTAATGTAAAATTGCCGATTTAGGAAGTAATCATTTTTTGGCAAAAATGTTGTCGTATTCATCATTAGTGTGACCGTATCAAAAAATATGGTATTCACCATGTTGCGCCGTTTGGTCTTTTGGTCGCAAAATGCAGAAATTATATAAAGTAGGTAAAAATAGCTACTTTGGGTAGCTTTAAATACCTAGGTAGCTACTAATAGCTACGTAGGTAGAAATAGTCTTTGGACTCCGACTGGACCTGATTAAGTTTCATTAAGATTAGTTAGACATGTAGAATAATCTATAACCAGGTCCGGCACAATGTCTTGATTAAGCTATATAGCTTGATTTAGCTATATAGATTTATTAAGCTATTCGGAATAGCTTGATTAAGCTATATTGTTACAATTTTTTCTCAAATGTTTTATTTTTTCAGCATGTGCAAAAAGTCGAACCTTGGTGCAGTGGAAATATTAAACTTTGAACTCTTCTGAATACAATGCATGTAAAAATCACTCACCAAATTGCGTCTCCTTGAGAGACTTTGTACACAAATTTTTAAAAATTTGGGGGGCTATTGATGAGTGACCACACAATTATTTCTTGAATGAAATTATAAAGGAGGTCAGTTATAGCCAACAAGATAATTGATTGGTAACAGTTCAACACAATGAGAAGCAATCATACTTATCCACACCTCACCGCACTCAATAGGACACTTTCCACCAGTGCAGTTACCCAAACAATGGAAATTCATCCTTTGCTTAAAAGTATTCTACAACAGCAATGTTAAAACTTTCTGTGATTTAGGTTGTTTTTTTGAAGCCCAAAGTACATATATGAATAGTCAAATACTTGCGACTTTTTGTTTATATCTCACTAAAAACGTTTTTGTAAAAAACTGCATATAAATAGCTTTATTAAGCTATTTTAAATAGCTTAATAAAGCTATATAGCTTTATAAAGCTATATAGCTTAATCAAGACATTGTGCTGGACCTGATAACTGTGTCTATTAATAATTAGTAATATTTTGAGAAACGGCACCTTTTTGTGCGCCGTAAATAATATACAGCATTTTCAATAGGTGGCACTTTAAATAGCTCTACGGTCTGTCAATATATTTTTTTTTCTGAGAGCTAGTATAAGCGCTCTCCATGTAATTCTGTAAATGAACAAAGATAAGTATATAAAGGTCTACCCCCTCGATACGATAAAGTCAACAATTTCATTTTATAGTATAGAGGGGTAGACCTATATACAGTTATCTTTCATCATTTACAGAAGTACATGGGGAGCACCTATGAGAGCTATAGACTAGTTCTGGAGCTACACAGGAGTTGGCCGATTTATCCATAAAGCAACGTAAACAACATCCAGTGAGCTAAGGGACAGAATGGCAATGCATTTATGGCGATTTGTGCTCTGGCACTTTATTTTAATAAAACTTAACTTCAACAAATGGTTTAATTCATGTCAGTCGATGTTTCTTACATTGAACAGAAATCAACTGATGAGAGTAAACATAAATTATGCAAGCAATGTGTATTATTTTTGATACAGTGAAATAATTTTAAGATGCATGCATTTTCAGAAATTGAAGATGACAGAAAACATGAGCTCATCAAAGACATTATTGAAAAACCATATTCGCCATGCAACAAGTCATAATAAGGTAAATGAAAAAAAACATAATAATGTAAATAGTTTCTTTAAATATGTTAAAAGTCTCAACTACCTTTCAGTGTATATTGTCAACCCTTGTAAAATAAAATCACATTATTTATTATTTTAATGCTTCTTTTTACTGAAACAGGCCTTGACAAAATAAAAATTAGGTCTTTAGTACAGCGTTTGAAATGATCGTGAACCCGATTGCCCGAAACGCATAAATTTTGTCCTTGGCAAACAGATTTGCAAGTATTTATGCCCAGATGGATGTGTAAAATTCTGGGATCGAATGAATAGTGAGCTGGCCCCATTCACACTGACATTATTGCTATAGAAGACAATTATTTTTTTCAGGCTAGTAGATTTTTGGGAGAGCTGACAACTTTCACTAGCAATCAGTCCTGCATGTCTAGCTAATATTACAGTGAGTTTCAAACACTGCTTTAGAATATAATATTTACATCCATGGAATACTTTCTCCTTTATTACTTAAGAAAACCCATTGCCATTAATCAGTGCATGAACAACCCTAGGCATATCACCTGTACAGATTTCTTGATCAGTGGCTGTTCCATCAATGAAATGTACAAAGACGTAGATATTATTAATACTATAATTAATCTTTTTAATCCTACTTTAAATGATTATTTAAACAGATATAAATATAAACAATAAATTGTCTTTCTTTGGTTTTTAGTATGGAAATGAATGTCGCAGCCATGGCATAAAAATTTACATATCCCCCTTACACGGATTGTGTATTTTTTTCTGCAACAGCTGTGACATTTATTACCACTCTAACAACCAAAGAAAGCATTTTATTGTTTAAGCAAACTTTTCCTACGGTACTTACATTTTTAGGGGGTTCATATTTATGCATGGTTTTCAAATTTATATTATGTTTAGAGTTTTTGAGATCGATCATAGTTCATTATCTTCACCTTTTTAGTTCACCTGAGTCACTCAGGTGACCTTTTTAGCTCACCTGAGCCAAAGGCTCAAGTGAGCTTTTCTGATCACAATCTGTCCGTTGTCTGTCGTCGTCGTCGTTGTTGTCGTTGTTGTCGTCGTTGTCGTCGTCGTCGTCGTAAACTTTTCACATTTTCATCTTCTTCTCAAGAACCACTGGGCCGATTTCAACCAAACTTCGCACAAAGTATCCTTGGGTGAAGGGAATTCAAGTTTGTTCAAATGAAGGGTCACGCCCTTTTCCAAGGGGAGATAATCATGAATTTGTTAAAAATTAATGGCATTTTTAAAAAAATCTTCTTCTCCAGAACCGCTGGGCCAGGAAAGATGAAACTCATGTGGAAGCATCCTCAGGTAGTGTAGATTCAAGTTTGTTCAAATCATGACCCCCGGGGCAAGGGTGGGGCCAAAATGGCCGACCCTAGTTTTACATAGGAATATATAGGAAATATCTTTTAAAATCTTCTTCTCAAGAACCACTGGGCCAGGAAAGATGAAACTCATGTGGAAGCATCCTCAGGTAGTGTAGATTCAAGTTTGTTCAAATCATGACCCCCGGGGCAAGGGTGGGGCCAAAATGGCCGACCCAGGTTTTACATAGGAATATATAGGAAAAAACTTTAAAAATCTTCTTCTCAAGAACCACTGGGCCAGGAAAGATGAAACTCATGTGGAAGCATCCTCAGGTAGTGTAGATTCAAATTTGTTCAAATCATGACCCCCGGGGCAAGGGTGGGGCCAAAATGGCCGACCCTAGTTTTACATAGGAATGTATAGGAAAAATCTTTAAAAATCTTCTTCTCAAGAACCACTAGTACAGAAAAGATGAAACTCAAGGGGAATCATCCGCAGGTAGTGTAGATTCAAGTTTGTTCAAATCATGACCCTCGGGGCAAGGGTGGGGCCAAAATGGCCAACCCAAGTTTTACATAGGAATATATAGGAAAAATCTTTAAAAATCTTCTCCTCAAGAACCACTGAGCGAGGAAAGATGAAACTCATGTGGAATCATCCCCAGGTAGTGTAGATTCAAGTTTGTTCAAATCATGACCACTGGGGCAAGGGTGGGGCCAAAATGGCCAACCCTAGTTTTACATAGGAATATATAGGAAAAATCTTTAAAAATCTTCTTCTCAAGAACCACAAAGACAGGAAAGATGAAACTCAAGTGGAATCATCCACAGGTAGTGTAGATTCAAGTTTCTTCAAATCATGACCCCCGGGGGCAAGGGTGGGGCCAAAATGGCCGACCCTAGTTTCACATAGGAATATATAGGAAAAATCTTTAAAAATCTTCTTCTTAAGAACCACTGGGCCAGGGAAGATGAAACTCATGTGAAATCATCCTCAGGTAGTGCAGATTCAAGTTTGTTCAAATCATGACCCCCGGGGCAAGGGTGGGGCCAAAATGGCCGAGCCAAGTTTTACATAGGAATATATAGGAAATATCTCTAAAAATCCTTCTCAAGAACCACTGGGCCAGGAAAGATGAAACTCATGTGGAATTATCCTCAGGTAGTGTAGATTCAAGTTTGTTCAAATCATGACCCCCGGGGCTAGGGTGGGGCCAAAATGGCTGTCCCAAGTTTTACATAGGGATATATAGGGAAACCTTTTAAAATCTTCTTTTCAAGTACTTCAAAGCTATGATTAGTGATATTTATATGGAATCATCCTCAGGTAGTGTGGATTCTAGTTTGTTCAAATGATGAAGGCCTGGAAAGGGGGGGGGGGTAAATTCAAGCCCGATGTGCTCAGGTGAGCGCTGTGGCCCCTGGGCCTCTTGTTCAATCTGTTTTTGTTTGACATCTGAATAATTGAATATTTTCAGCTACTTCTCTGTAACCGCTGAACCAATTTCAGCCAATTTTAGCATATGGCATATAGAGGTGAAGGGAAACAAAACTTTTGAATTTTTTGATCTTTGCCCCCTGTCCAGGGACCTGAGGGGTGGGGCATAAACCATCAAAATTAATGCCATCTTTAAAAATCTTTTTTCCTGAATGTTAAGCAGTCAAACTGTTGGTATGATTGTTACAAGCATTGAGCCTACTACCAAAATTGTGAAATTCAAGACCCCTGGTCAGTGCTGGGGTGGGGTTAGATAGATTATATAGTGAAAGTGCATTATTTCTTTGAAGATCTTCTTCTCTGCTCTTGGGTATTAAACAAACAAACTACATACATAGTTATGATGAGGAAGGATGTATCTTCTAATATTGTGAATTTCATGGTCCGTGGGTCAGAGGTTCTGTTGTTAGGACGGGGCTCTATTGTTTATATAGTGAAAATGCATTAATTCTTTGGAAATCTCCTCAGCTCCTGGGTATTAAGCAGATGGAATACCTTCATACTGTAAAATTCAATATTTTTGTGGGGTCAAATTTTCAAAATTTGAGGAGAAAATACCTTATAAGTGAACATTTTAGTGAGACACAAATTTTGTGATTTGTCCTTAAATATGGGAATTTTATTTTAAGCGAGAAGTAATTTTAGCGATATTAAAAAGCTCACTAAAGAGGCCATGACAACTAAAAACACAATTAAGGAGGAATGCCACACCAACTTTTTATTTTATAGATCTTTGAGTCATCCTTTTTAAACAAGGGTTTCAGCATTGAAAGGCCGACATTAGCTCTCAATTATTTTATATGAATTTTTTTGCATTTTTTTCAAAGAAAATGGAAAAATTTATTTACATCAAAATAAGACACTTTCTTGTAAAAATTTTGCTGTAAATGAATGCATCACATTAATATCTAATAAAATATGTGAAGAAAAGTTGATAGATATTAAAAATTTTTAAATAAAAAAATATTTATGAGAATAAAACACATAATTTGTGAATATTTTTTAAACTTGTGGTTAAAATCTTCTTAAAACCAGTCACAACTGGGGAGAACATGTTCATTAATCATATTTATAAAAGAAATTGAAACGAAATAGCCAAATTTTTGAAAAATTATTTTTTTTTATTTTGGCCAATCCGGATAAAAATTAATCCGATCCCAACCATAATTGTACAAGTATTGGAAATGAATAACATTTCCCCAAGAACACTAGTCTGATTAGGTGTATTAAGGGTCAAAACATTATTGAACTTGACAATAAAATAGATTTATTCATTGTAAATGCATAATGGGGCAATAAATTAGTAGTTTATTCATTTTATGTTAATTTTGATCGGGATCAGTTTAATTTTGATCGGGTTAGGTCCAAATATTAAAAAAAATTAATTTCTCTAAAATTTCTCAATTTCGTTTCAATTTCTTTTTAAAATATGATTGACAAACATGTTGTCCTTAGTTGTGACTAGTTTTATGGTGTTTTTAACCATAGGTTTAAAAAATATTCACAAATGATTTTTTTATTTTCATAAATAATTTTTTATAAAAGAATTTAAAAAGTCTGACCAGCCTTTCTTCACATATTTTATTAGATGTTAATATGATACATTCATTTACAGCAAAATTATAACTCGAAAGCATCTTAATTGGATATAATTAATTTTTTTCATTTCCTTTGAAAAAATACAAAAAAATTCATATAAAATAATTAAGAGCTTATATTGACCTTTCAGTGCTTAAACCCTTGTTTAAAAAGGATGACTCAAAGATCTATAAAATAAAAAATTGGTGTGGCATTCCACCTTAATTTTTAGTGATTTTCAATTTTAGAGATCTTAGCATCATCACTAATAATACCAAAATTAAATCCTTGCTAAAAATTCTGCTTATACGCAGTCTATCCCAAAAGCACCGGTCCGTCGGACAAAACAGGTGAAAATCTGATTGGTCCCATGCACTATCTAGTAAAATCGGTCCGATTGTCCGAGGTTCGTTTTGGCAGGATTTTAAATCTTATATTTCTATTTCATCATATAGACGCTTAATCTTATACCAAAACACACTTTTAAAAACCTATTGTATTTGTTGATTGTGATTGTTTTAAAACCTACTAAAAAAAATTATGTTTGTTTTCTGTAACCCGAACGACCCATTCATATTATCCCCGAGTGGATTTTTTTTCTGACAATTGGAAAAACTGCGTTTGATCAATCAGCCGATTCCATTTATTTAAAAAAAAAATTAACTTGTAGCTTTTAATAACTTGAGACACAAAATATGTCAATATAGTTTACAAATTACCTTAAATATAAAGAGTAATCATTATTGTAACAACAATTTCCCCCTACAACTTTGTGAAGTTCGCTTAATACATGTTTACTGATTCAAATGCTATGAAAAAACATCGTTATGATCATTATATGAAAAAGTTTTGGACCGGTGAAAATTCGTTTGGTCCTGTGAAATTGTGTTAACTGTCTGTCCGAATGTCCTGTGGCGATTTTTCTTTTTCGCGAAGACTGTTATACGGTATTGGCATGTGGGGACTTGATTTTGTGGTTGGAGAATGCTTAGTATAAATGCAAATGGAATTTTAATTTTCCTGGTGGTCATGAATTCATGGGTCTCTCCATGCCACAAAAAAACACAACAAAAATTGAAACCCTATTAAATAATTGAATTTACAGAAGTTATGATGAGCAAGGATTCTCCTTCCAGATTATAAATTTCAAGGCTCCATGGGTTAGAGGGTAGGAGGGGGGGGGGCTCTTATGATTATAGAATAAAAATGAATGATTGATTGATTGTATACTGTTTAACGTCCCTCTCCAGAATATTTCACTGATACGGAGACGTCACCATTGCCGGTGAAGGGCTGCAAATTTAGGCCTATGCTCGGCACTCAGGGCCTTTGAGCAGGGAGGGATCTTTATCGTGCCACACCTGCTGTGACACGGGGCCTCGGTTTATACGGTCTCATCCAAAGGACCGCCCCATTTAGTCACCTTTTACGACAAGCAAGGGGGTACTGAGGACCTATTCTAACCCGGGTCCCCACGGGGCTAAAAATGAATGAGGGCTTTGAAATCTGCTCCTTGGTATTAATTAAACAATTATGATGAACAAGGATGCCTTTTCCAAAAATTGTGAAAAGAGTTGCTCCAGGGTCAGGGGTTCCTGTGGGTTGAGGGCACTATTAATTATTACTGATTATTACTGATTAATTGAAATGCATTTTCTTTGTTCCTTTAAACTTAGTTTATACATGTAGTTATGGTGAGCAAAGGTGTCTCTTTCAAAATTACGAATATCATGGGCTCTGCATGGTTTGAAAACACAAACCAAATTCAATTGTTGGAAAGCTGTTACATGATGCTCAGGTGACCTATAAGGCCCATGAACCTCTTGTTCATTGGAAGAGAGAGTCAAGTAGGTGGTTACCAGAACAATAAAGATTGACTTCCTGAATGTGATTTTTTCCATACTTTGCTCTGTATACAATTATACATACACTATAATTGTTCAAACATTGTTCAAACATTTTTGATTATAGATAGTTGAAGAATCTCTAATGTGGAGGCAGTATGAGATGATGAATGCTGAAAAATGTCAAGAAACTTCAAGGAAGTCAAAATACTCAAAGGACGAACCCCATAAACAAGAGAGACAAAAAAGTTCTAGAGACAGATTTTCTACACCAAGTGAAAGAAGTTCATCATTAGATCAATCCAAGCCCTCATTTTACTGGACAAAAGAGTTACAGAGAGCAAAGGAAGCCATTCCAGACAGGTATATACTGTAAATAAGGATAAGTATTCACACTTCCAACTGTTTTTTAAATGATAACTTTTTGAAAGATTAGTGCATTGATTTCTCAATATGTACTACTGAGTGTAAGTTTCACCAAGATGAAGGTCAATGCCTAATATGCATGTCAATATCCAGGCCTGTCATTGTGTCTGGAGAAGGCAGGGACTGTGGAAATTAACAAGGAATATTTTTGTACAATATTTCAATTATATTAAACAACATATTTTGCCTCCATAATGAAAGATTAGGGGGAACAAAATTTTTGTCCTATCCATTTGTCTGTCTGCCTGGTAATCTCTCTGTTTGTCTGTAAACTTGACAATAACTTTTGATTGGTTGGAGCTATGACTTTCATATTTCACAAGTACAGTCCTTAATTGTGGCAAGACCTTTTTTTTTGGATTTAAACATAATTGAACTCTGACCTTGCAATTTGACCCACATTTGCTAAATTTTACTATGCTTCAACCTTGGCTTTAAGTTTTGAACTGTTGCTGCTTTGGTTTTTCATACCTGATTTTTTTGTTTACCTTGTGATAACACCTTTCCTTCAATTTACAAATATTTTTATTCATTAGGGCCCCGCAAGGATTTGCAGGTGCCCTATAGTAATCACTCTGTCTGTCTGTCCGTCCAGCTGTCTGTCTGTCATTCCTTCATCCACAAATTTTCTAATTTTTTCCTAATAACATTTTTTATGGTTGCCCAATCAAGTTCAAATTTGGTATGGTAGTTCAGTAAGCATAAATACATATTTTGATGCTAAGTTTGGTTCTCTATTTCTTCTGGTTTGGAGCTGGGGTGGTGGGGTAGATTCCTTAACTATGCATAAGAATGAATGGGCAAAGAAAGATAACTGCTAAGAATGATACCATTATAAACTGGGAAGGCTGTGCAATTTGTCCTTTCGGATGAATTAACTTTCCACATGAAGAAAATCCTAAGCATTATCTTTATCTGTCACATTGAGATTAATAACTGTACCGCCTCTGTCTGCAAATGAACTTTGTTTTGAAGTTAAGGTCAATTTTGAATGATGTGTACATTCTCTGAAATATGGATTTAAGATAATGTTCATACTTTATTTTGGTTAAAATACTGTACACAATGATTTATGATGATTTTTATTGAATTCTAAAATCAAGATATATATTAAAATATGCTTTTTAGGTCACCCGAGTAAACTTGGGTGACCTATTGCTATCCGTTTTCGTCCGTCGTCGTTTGTCGTCAGTCATGCGTTAAAATTTGAACATTTTCAGCTTCTTCTCTGAAACCACTCAACCAATTTCAACCAATTTTGGCACAAAGCATCTATGGGTGAAGGGGAACAAAAATTGTGAATTTCATGGCCTCTGCCCCCCTTGGGCCTGGGGGATGGGGCCAAAACCACTAAAATTACTGCAATCTTTAAAAATATTCTTTACTCCTGGACATCAAGCAGTCAAACTGTTGGCATAATTGTTATCAGCATTGAGTCCTCTACCAAAATTGTGAAATTTATGGCAACAGGGTCAGGCTTTCTAGTGCTAGGATGGGGCTATATTGATTATATATTGAAAATGCATTATTTCTTTGAAAATCTTCTTCTCTGCTCCTGGGTTTCAAATAAACTAATCAAGTACATAGTTATAATGAGCAAGAGTGCCTCTACCAAAATTGTGAATTTTATGGCCCCAGGGTCAGGGGTTCTGGTGTTAGGGCGGGGCTCTATTGATTATATAATTAGGTCTTTCCACCTTTCTGTGGAAAGACCTCTTGAAATGCTTATTAAGTCTTTCCACCTTTCTGTGGAAAGACTTCTTGAAATGCTTATGTTTATTATTATTATTTTTCCGTTATCGACTTTTGAACAGAAAGACTTATCGAAAAACTTTTTGCTTCATGACACTGGAAAACAAAAGTTATTTCGAAAAACTACCCAAGGCGCACGACCTATGACACCTTTCGGAGTTACGACCCCTTTTGCAATAAAAGCTTGTTATCGCTACTCCTCCGAAACCGTAAACCGTAGAGATACAAAACCTTCAACAATGTCTACGACTACTTTAGGAGACTCTTGAATCTATTCATTGCGAAAGGATTCGTAAACCCCTACAATGAATTATTGCCCCTGAATGTTTGCGATGTTTACGATTATCAAGATCTTCTCTTAAACGACAAGGTGTAGACATGGGGCCAACTGCAAAAGATTCTTTGACCTTTGACCTCTAAATTTAGGTCAAGGTCAAAGGTCAAGGTCATTCAAAATATGTAAAATTAAGCATTTTTTATAGCTCTTTTGTTCTTCACCAAATTTTAAATATCTTTGCATCTTCAATATGTACTCTTAAAACCATTTCAGGGATTTCATGCTTGTCCCCTAAGATTGACCCCTCTAAAAGTTAGTGCCCCTTCCAGTGTAAACCCTTGTTATTGCTACTCCTCCGAAACCATAAACCACAGAGATACAAAACCTTCAACAATGTCTACGACTAATTTAGTACACTCTTGAATCTATTCATTGCGAAAGGATTCGTCAACCATTTTAAGTAGTTATTGCCCCTTACAGATTCTGATGTTTACGAAGAACTAAAAACTTTTAAACGACAAGTTGTAAGGACATGGGGACAATGCATGAGATCTTTTGACCTTTGACCTTGAAGATTAGGTCAAGGTCAAAGGTCAAAGTCATGGGGAAAATGTTAAAATTGCTTATATATGCTTTGGAGGGAATTTGACCTTGACCTTTGACCTTCATATCTGACCTTGACCTTTGACCTTGACCCAAAAGTTAAATGATATATTCATTACCTTTACCTAGATTCAGCTTCAAGTTTTAAACTCAAGTTCATAAGTTGTTTTTGTTTTTTTTTTGATGACCTTGATCTTTGACCTTGATAAATGACCTTGACCTTTGACCCCCCTATCGACCCAAAGGTCTCAATCAAGCATAAGGTCGTTGAGGTATTTGCAACTCTTACTGTAACAAAGGCTTATACCCCCCCCCCCCCTTTTCTTACAAAAAAAAAAAAAAAAAAAAAAAACAGCAGCATAGAGAAAATGTCTACAAGTCAAAAGACACGATATATCGACATAAGATTCGGAGTAAAAGCAAGAAGAGACCTTAAAGAAAGTGTCCTGAGAGTTTTAAGGTGAGTCTCTAAAATATAATGAAATTCTAGTGAAAATCGGCAAAATCTGCATTTTTTTTCTGTCTGAAATTTAGTTATTGCTGAGAATAAAAATTAATTAAAGCCCGTATTGGCTATTTCTGCAATTGTTGTTAATATCATTCGATTCTCCTGCTCTTTTACGACATTTTAACGCCAAGTATTCTTGCTTTCTTTAGTGTATGGAATTTATTTCAATTTTATTTGGATTTAATATTAATGGAATGAATCTTGATTTCATCTGAAATTTGATTTTTTTCCCCTAGAATAACACATTCCCAAGAAATAGCGACTTTCAGCATAGTAAAAAGAAATACACGTTTCTTCCCTGTGTTTCCCGTCTAGAATTACATGTTTGGAATTTTATTTATGCTACTTACATTGAATTTCATGCCTATTTCGGTCAGGAATGTTAAAACCCGAACCCGATTCTCTGTTTTCCTTTTCCATAATTACAAACTGCCTTGCATCTCTCGCTATGTTTCTCACATGCTTTTAAATAATTTATCGCCATCCATTTCAAACATAAAACAACTCAAATCGGATATTTTCAAACATCTCTTTAATACATGTATAATGCACATATGATGCAGGTACACATGGGACATTTCACAACGTTTTCACTTACGCTTCCGTCTTGATGCGCAGATCAAATGCATGTTATTCATATTAATAGGTATATCATAATTTTAATCAAACCCTACCTCTTACATCTTAACTTGATAACAATCTCATTCAAGCTCATATATACACATAGGAGCGTGTTACAGTGTTTTTTATGCGCTCTCTTTGCGTGATCAATGAATTTGTGCTTATCCCCGAGTCGACTACAAACACACAATCTAGGAAGTCTGTTTACGGTAAAATTACACCAACTGCGAGCCCGATCTAAAATCCCAGTAGAGAAATGAGAATTTTGCTGTTTTATTTATTTTCTTGCTTTTTTCCTACTTTTTTCAGCCCAAATGATATTGAAACACTTAAAAAGGTGGAAAGACGTCTTATTGTTCTCTGAACAATTAGTTTACTAGTGTTTATTATTATTTTTCTTCCCGGACTTTTGAAACCGCAAGACTTATCGAAAAACTTTATAGTTCATGATATTGGATATTAAAAGTTATTCTGAAAAACGACCCCCCATGTTTGAACTTTGACCGCTTTCTAAGTTATTGCCCCTTTTGCTAGAAATGCTTGTTATCGCTACTCCTTCGAAACCGTAAACCGTACAAATATGAAACCTTCACTAAAGTCTTCGACTAATTGAGAGGACTCTGGAATCTATTCATTGCGAAAGTATTCGGTGACCCCTTCAATGAGTTATTGCCCCTGAAACTTTTTGAATTTTAGAAATTATTAAAAATTTTAAAAACAAGAAGGGATAGAGACATGGGACCAACTGCATAAGATTCATTGACCTTTGAGCTTAAAATTCATGTAAAGGTCAAAGGTCAAGGTCATTCCAAAACTGAGAAATTTAGTTCTTTTTATATCTTTTTTGTCTCTTAACATATACAAATTGTGTAAGAATCATTAATAAGTACTCTTGAAACTATTTTAAAGATTCAATTCGTATTCCGTAAGATTGACCCTATTAAAAGTTATCGCCCTTTGTGCTGAAAACCTTGTTATCGCTACTACTTCGAAACCATAAACCGTACAAATATGAAACCTTCACTAAAGTCTTCGACTTATTGAGAGGACTCTGGAATCTATTCATTGTGAAAGTTTTTGGTGACCCCTTCAATGAGTTATTGCCCCTGAAACTTTTTTAATTTTATAAATAATTAAAAATTTTCAAAACGAGAAGTGAAAGAGACATGGGACCAACTGCATAAGATTTATTGACCT